AATGGGTCTAGGCCCGAAACGTCAGCCTTCCTGCTCCTCTGATGCTGCTTGGCCTGCTGTGTTCGGCCAGCTCTACACCTTTTTATCTCAGATTCTCCAGCATCTGCAGTTCCTACTATCTCTGATAGTTCATTTCCAATTGGATCAAGTCTACTCACGTTGGTGATTCACCTTAACCAGATCTGTGCTGTTCCCAGCAGTAAGATCAACTGAAAGCAATGCACCACTCAAGGATATAATTGCCAATGTGCATGACATAGGTATGGATGGCTGTCTCATCAGCCTAGACCAGAGAAGTCCTTTGACAGCCACAATGGAGGTGCTCCCCAAAATGTGGTTTGGGGAGGATGTCAACAAATGGACACAACTGCCTCTACAGGGGATGCCTGATTTACGAACAGCCAACTTATGAACTCGTACTTACGAACTTCCATATAGAAGTATAATTTTAAAGATCCAAAATACAAACATTTCCTGTTCTTACGAACAGCTATTTTACATTGTCCTGCAATGTGTTCTGACTTGTATACAAATCGACTTACGAATGGACTCAACAACTAGGGATGGCTTATACAAACATCAGTAGCATACTTTCAATCAATCAATGGTTGGAAAACATAAAGCTTTCTGATCAAATGGAGTTTGCACATTCTCCACATTTCTGCATGGGTTTCCATGGATGCTCCGGTTAGCTTCAACAGCCCAAAGATGTGCAGGTTAGGTGGATTAACCATGCTAAATGTACATGTCTGTACTGTGAAGGTTAGATTTAGATATAGATTTAGGTTTTAATGTCACGTGTACTCAAGTACAGGAGTACTGTGGAAAGTGTACAATATTGCCATTCCCGGTGCCATCTTAGGTACAGAGGAACTGACGTACAAAATCTTAGGTATAAAAATAGAAAAATAAAGAAATAGAAATAGAAAAAGTTAAAAAGTTCAATACTACAGTTCTTCTTAGTATAAATGAGAAAAATGAACAAATAAAGTTAAAAGGTAAACATTACAGTCCTTTCTTAAGCCATGGGCCTGCAGATGCTCCATGCTGGGCTTTCCCCATGAGGGATTACTCTCCCTCATGCAGGGCATTCTTTCACTCATGCTGGGCTAAGTCCTGCTCTGGCTTGCCAGCTGCTGTGCTACCAACAGTCGCATGACTACTGCTTTGCGCACCAGCCACTTTGCCTCCGATTACCACTTTGGTGCTGACTGCCATCTGGGCTTGCTGACAGCCGCTGCCATGCTCCATCATTGCTGCTGCCTCCACAACTGAGCTCTGCCCAGAAGGTAAGTAAAAAAAACACTAAAGGAACTAGAAAAGAAAAAAAAAGCAAAGAATGGCCTGTTCAAAGAATTCAAATGGCCTGCTAACACACCTAAGGGATACTATGATTCAAACAAGACACAACCAGGAAAGGGTGGGAGATGTAAGATAAATTGAGGACAGAGGTTATACTCTGAAGGTGTGGAACTCAATATTGGGTCTTAGAGGCCTTTTAGAAATAAAAGGGCAGTGCGGTGGTGCAGTGGTTAGCACTGTTGCCTCACAGTACCGAGGACCTGGGTTCGATTCCACCCTCAAGCAACCATCCATGTGGTGTTTACACATTCTCCTCATGTCTGTGTGGGTTTCCTCCCACAGTCCAAAGATGTGCAGATTAGGTGGATTGGCCATGCTAAATTGCTCATAGTGTCCAGGGCTGTGTGGGTTAGGTGGATTAGCTGTGGGAAATGCAGGATTACAGGGGTAGGATAGCGGGATAGGTCTGGGTGGTATGTTCTTCAGAGGATTAGTGTGAACTCAATGGGCTGAATGGTCTGTTCCCACATTGTAGGGGGTTTGATGATTCAAAAAAATAAAAGCTAATGGAATGGATGAGACTGGGGCTCAAGACCCTGGACAGTGCCTGCTGCCACCATCTTAAAAAAGGTGGATTTGCCATGGTAAATGGTGGAGTAGGGTAGGGGTGTGAGTCAGGGTGGGATGCTCTTTGGAGGGTCAGTGCAGACTTGATGGGCCAAATGGCCTCTTTCCGCATTGTAGGCATTTTATGATTCGAATGTGGAATCAGGCACATCTGCCCTCTATCCCCTGTACTGTACATATGCTGTATAGAACCTTTCACCAAGTCCATCAGGAATGATGTGGAACTTAGAAGGATAACTATCCCAGCTTCTGGAGGTGCTCAGGTCAATATCTTCCTTTACGTGGATTACATGACCATCCTCTGTTGTCAGTGTGCAGACTGATTATTGTGTGTAACCAGTTCAAATGGCCTCAGAAACAAAGGTAACGTGAGGCAAATTTGTTCTGTAGGAACAGGTTCAACTGATGTTTTAGCATCTTCACTGTCAGGTTAGATTACATGAAAGTGCTGGGGATTGGTTCAGAAGGTCCAAGGCATGTACCAAACATTGGAAGAGTTGACGGCCTTGAGCAAACAAAAAGTGAGCAAATGGGACCAACACTCTCTTTCATTTGTGGGTATGAACTTTGTCATCAAGTGCCAACTGTTCTTGGGATTGCTCTGTGGAGTGCAGGTCTGGCCCATTCTCACTCCTGCCCTGTGGCTATTGTCTGAAGTACCTTCTACTTTATGTGGATATCAAAAATGGGTAGTGCTCACAGGGATATTATGTACAAACCTCCAAATAAAAGGGAAAGAGCATGTTCAATATCAACCACAACCTGACGGCCAAATTTGTGTGTAACTGGATCAAACTGTGCTTAGAACCTCTTGATATAAACTCTTATTGTCACTGTTGGAAAGGATGAGTCTGGCCACATTGCAATGGAACATTCCAAATAATTAGATAATGCTATAGCATGTGTCCATTGTGGAGACAATTATGTAGAAAAACACCTTGACCACAAGTTCATCAGACAGTGATCACAAAAAGTCATAGAGGTTTATAGCACAGAAAGAGGCCCTTCAGCCCATTGTGTCCATGCTGGTCATCAAATATCCATCTAATCTAATCCCATTTTCCAGCACTTGACCTGTAGCCTTGAATTCACTGGTGTTTCAAGTGCTCATCTAAATAGATCGTAAATGTCTTGATAGCTCCTGCCTCTATCTTCCTTTTAAGAAGTGAGTTCCAGATACCCACCATTCTCTGCGTGAAAAAAACTTTTCCTCAAATCCTCTGCCATTTCAAGCATTCATCTAAATACTTCTTAAATATTATATATTCAAATCACTGGAGGAGCTGGCAGCCATGGGCAAACAAACACTGAGCATATGGGACCAACATTCCCTTTCACTTGTGGATATGAACTTTGTCATCAAGTGGCAACTGCTCTTAAGGTTGCTCTATGAAAAGGTGTTCAATGTCAAAAGGCATCACATGATCACCCTCTCTCTTCAGCAGCACAGGATCTCTCTATTTCAGAGGATCCTGATCCTACGTTCCTTCTCATCATTTGCCTCATCCAATTTTAACCTTCTTTGAGATTCAAGCACCACAAGCTTCAATAATTGTCTGAAAGTTATGCCCCTCCTGATTCTTCATACTTTCATTTGTCTTTGATCTCACCTTCTTTCCAATCTCATCCTTCGACCATTTCACTATTATCTCTGATCTCTCCCTCTCAAACACAAATGATCAGTCCTCAGCAAAAACCTTTTTATGGCTGTACACTTCTGTGATTGTAGATATTTTAATTTGGATCTTTTCTATACCCTTTAGGAGTTTGTATTGTTACAAATTCATCCCTGAGCTTTCTTATCAGCAATATAAATATTTCTAGTCTCCCTGCATCTTCTTATAACTCACTTGCCTTGTTTGAGCTATGAAATTAATCTGGGAATAGACCAGCATACTTAATGTATTCAGAATTCTTTTGTTGGGAATTTTGATCTGATCATCAGGCTACACAGGTTTAATCCCGTTTGTTCTTTACTAGTGCCAGATACTGCGCTTTGTCCCAATTTCCAAATGTTTACATTTATGTTAAACACCAATTACAGCCCTACCACTAATCCTTGAGGCAAGACACTTGCAAACATCCTTCAAAATTCAGTCGGTCGAGCTCTTATCTCAGAGTCAGAAGATTTATTTCAAACCTCACAATAGCCTCTAAGAACCAAGCAAGCACTTTGTAACTAATATGCTGTTGAGTTCCTACATTTTTGTATTGCTTTGGGAGCTTAAATATAATGCACTGTTTCTTGACTATTGAAATTACACTTTTCTCATGAATTTGAAACTAATCAACTTCTCCAAAATCATGGACTTAAATAGGACAGTTCTTTTTACATACACCAGAATAGAATTTCTGAGACTTTCTACATATTGATTTTCTGGCATAAATACATATTTAAAAAGGAATTATTTGTTAAAATCAGACTGAACCAATAAGCTGCCATGATTAAGTCAGGGTTTGTGAAACTTGCAATACCGTATCAAAGCACGCTTGGGAATTTTAACTGCTCTCAATCTTTGCCAGTGTTACATAGTGCTGAATTTTTCTATTCTACTTAGTATTGTAGGTTTGCTTAAAGTTACCTCACATAAGTATTTTCTTCTTGTACATAACACAGTCTTTCAAAAGTAATCACTTATTTTATGATCCCTGCATTACTTCCAGCATGTATATGTTCTCCATTTGTTTCCATACCTGAATTGAACACAGTGCTCAAAATTAAAACTAAGAAAAGCTTAGTAGTGCCTTAGATTTTCACTCTACTGATTTAGTAGTTTAGCTAAACATTCAATCATTAATGAATACACCACAAAACACAATAGGTGTTGAATCTACTTTCTCTTCCAGAAGTCCATCAACTTTACTTCAGTTAATTATTTCAATGCATACCGTATTGCACTCAGCTATACCAAGGAAATGTGAAAAAACATTTCCAGTTGCGAAGTTTAGCCAAATTGTTCTGTAGTTCCTTGGCTACTTCAGCAGACTTAATGAGGTGACCTGATTTACCATCATCTGCCAATTTTACCAACATAGAACGTATTTCTAAATCTAAGTTATTTCTGTGTAAATTTTAAACAATAATTTCTTATAACTCCTAGGCACAATTATTAACACCCCCAGTTTAACACTCAATGGTATTCAAAGCGTACAAATTGATTCATCAAATGTCCATTTCTGCTGTAAGTATGGATTTATGAACGTATAATGAAAAACATGGTGTAACAATGCATATTAGAAGAACATGACAGCAAAAAGCAATGTAGAGAAAACAGAAGTATGACAGATGTAAAAACTTCAAGACTAAAGGGTTTCGGCCTGAAACATTGATTTTCCTGCCCCTTGGATGCTGTTTGACCTGCTGTGCTTTTCCAGCCTCACACCTATCAACTCTGGATTCCAGCACCTGCAGTCCTTATTGTCTTCAAGATTAAATATTGTCCTCAGACGAAGAAGAGTAAGGATGGACTAGAATTTGATCAGGATTACAAAATATATAGTGTGCATAAATCAGAAGTGGTCCATTTGGCCTAATAAACTCATGGCAGTGTTATGCTCCAACTGAACTTCCTTCTATTCTATTTTATCTTACCCCGTGCACATATCCTTTATCCCTTTCACCTTCATATAAAGAAGTTCTTCTAAAATTCGTATTGAATCTGTTCGTCAAAATATTTCAAATAGGAAGTCATCAATAAATTTGCAGAACGAGTGTACAATTGGCAAATGGGCTTCATTCTGGTTGGCCTGCTAAAGAAAGGATATTATTGAATTGGAGAGGGTTCAGAAAAGATTTGCCAGTATGTTGCTGGGAATGGAACATTTGAATTACAATAATAGCTAGATAGGCTGAGACTTTCTTCACTGGAATGTAAGAGTTTGAGGGGTTACCTTTTAGAGGTTTGTAAAATCATGAGGGTTATAGATAAGGCAAACAGCAATGGTTTTTTCCCTAGGGTGGGGGAGTTCAAAACTGAGGGGCACACTTTTAAATTGAGAGGATGAAGTTTTAAAAAGGACATGGAATGACAATTTCTTTACATTGAGAATGGTTCGTGTTTGGAATGAACTGCCAGAGAATGTGATGGATGCAGGTACAGTTACAACATTTAAAAGACATTTGGATAAGTACATGAACAGGAAGGGTTTGGAGAGATATGGGCCAAATGCAGGCAAGTGGAGCGAGTTTAGTTTGGGAACATTGTCAGCATGGACTAATTGGACAGAAGGGTCTGTTTCCATGCTGTATGATTCTACTTTCCCCTTTTCTTAAAGTATTTTCTGTTTTATTAACTAAAGAACTTCAACAGTTTAAAGCAAAAGTGGCATCCTTTGTGAATATGCGTACTTGGTGTAATCAAAACTGAGCTTCTTTCCTTACAAATTAAGTCTAGTGACTGGTTTACAAAGCTGTACTTATCTCCTTATGGCTTTTGGTGTAGAGTCATTTTGGATTATTTGGCTCTTTGGTTGGTAGTCACAGAAGATCTTGTTTCTTCCTCAGAAGTTGGCACTTCAGAGGGAGAAATCTGAACTGGTTCACACTCAGACATGAACTTGTGACCGAATGGATCATGTTCATAATTTGGTTAATCAATCATTGAGATTTCTTGATATACACGAAAAAAATCCAATCTTTCCGTCATATCAACTAAGTATCTTTTAGTTCAGTAAACTTGTCTTACATTTCCCACAAGTCACTTCTGCGAATTTGAGGGAGGTTCAGAATATAAACATACTCATTTTGCCTGAAACTGTTCTCTCTTTTGTTTACATTGTGCTGACATCTTTTGACTGAACTGTTTGTGTTCAAGGGTACCAGTCAAATTTGGTAGAACCAAACTCAAAAGTATCCTTAACTTTCCCCTTATCAAAAGCTCAGCAAATGTTTACCCTGTAGTAGGGTGTGAAGTTGTTTGATATTTCAGGAGAAAATTAGTCATCCTCTGTTTCATTTTGAAACTTAATCACCTATTCTCTGCTTGTTTCTTGAGTGTTATTACAAATCTTTCGGCTGCTCCATTTGATACTGAAAAGTAAGGAGAAGTAAGGGTATATTTAATGCTATTTTGCTTCAGGACTGTTTTTTACAGAATAGAACACAACAGAGGACTATTATCTGAGAAAAGCTCCTCAGGAAATCCGTGACAAATAAAGATGGGCCATAAGTCAACGATTGTACTTTTTTAGCAAAAATGTTTTCACCCAGGTATTTATTTTGATCCATTTTGAGTAGCTATTGCTGAGCAGTAATACACTTTAATGAAAGTATGCATTAACTCTTTGAAACGGACAAGTTGACTGTGACCACAATTGCAAATAAATTCTTGAAGGTTTATTTTCCCTTTGATTCCAAATCACAGTCAAGCTCAAGTCAATAAACAAATTCTTTTGTTATAGATTTTGTACTGAATTTTGCCATGTGTTCCATATTGAGCTCTGCCAGAAATGTATGTCTCAAATACAAATGTGGCACTACTCTGTGAACCCACTTACTATCATAGTCATTGAGGTCTACACCACAGAAAAAGGCTCTTCAGCCCATTGTGTCCATGCCAATTAGAAACAACCACCTAAATATTTAATCCCATTTTCCAGCACTTGGCCCATAGCCTTGTATGTCTTGACATTACAAATGCACATCTAAACACTTATTAAATGTTTCTGACTCTACCAACCATCCAGGCAATGAGTTCTGGATTCCCACCACCCTCCAGGTGAAAACGTTTTTCTCACATCTTCTCTAAACCTTCTTCCGCTTACTTTAATTCTATGCCCCCTGAGCATTGATCCCTCTATTAAGGGGAACTGTTTCTTCCTGTCTATCTATGCCCCTCATCATTATACACATCTCAATCTCTTCTGCTCTAAGGAAAACAAACTCAGTCTGTCCAGTCTCTCTTCACAATAGAAACTCTTCAGTCCAGGCAATATCTTGGTAAATATTCTCTGCACCCTCTCCAAGATTATCACATCTCTCCTAAAATGCGGATTCCAGAATTGCACACAATACTCTAGTTGTGGCCTAATCAACATTTTATACAGTTCCAGCATAAACTCTCTACTCTTATACTTTGTGCCTCAACAAATAAATATAAGTATTCTAGATGCCTTATTCACCACTTTATCTGCCTGTCCTGATTCCTTAAGGGACTGGCGTACATGTACACTGAGGTGCCTCTGCTCCTTGGTGTATCCAGAGTCCCACCATTCACTCTGCATTCCCTTGCCTTCTTTGTCCGGCCCAAGGGCATCACCTCACATTTATCTGGTTTGAATTCCATTTGCCACTGATCATTCCATCTGACCAGCCTGTCAGTCCAGTAGTCTAGGGCTGTCCTTCTCACTATTTACCACCCCACCAATTTTTGCATTGTCTGCGAACTTACTGATCAAGTTCCTACTACATTCAAATCTAAATCATTTATGTAAACCCACAGTGATTTAAACCACAAGCCTGAACAATTACCCTCTGCTTCCTGTCACTCAGCTAATTGTCGATCCAATTTGTCAAATTTCTTTGGATCCCATGGGCTCTTACCTTTGCTATCAGTCTCCCGTACAGGACCTTATCAAGAGCCTTGCTGAAGTCTGAGTAGATTGCATTAAAAGCTTTGTCCTCATCTATACACCTAGTCACTTCTATGAAATATTCAATCAAGTTGATCAGATATGAACTTCCCTTCATGAAACCACACTGACTGTTCTTGATTAATCCATGTCTCTCCCAATGCAAATTAATTCTGTCTTTCAGAGTTGCTTCCAACAGTTGCCCAACCGAGGTTAGACTGACCGGCCTGTAGTTTCCTGGCTTACCCCTTGCTCCCTTCCTAAATAACAATACTACATTGGCTGTTCTCCAGTCCTCCAGTACCTCTTCTGCGGCCAGATAAGAACTAAAAATTACTGCAAACACCCAAGCTATTTCCTCCCTGTCTCCAGCCCTGGAGATTTTTGTATTTTTAAGGTTAGCACACCACTCAGAACTTTGTCTGATAATTTAAAAAATTATATTACAGACCTTCTCCCTGATTTCTCTACCCATATCATCCATCTCACTAGTGAACACTGACCCAAAGTATTCAGTTAGATGCCTTCCTACATCGTCTGGCTCCATACACAAATTACCACTGTACTCCTTAATGGGCCCTACTCTTTCCCTCATTATCCTTTTACGTATAAAACAAGTACAGTTTAGGATTCTCCTTTATTTCCCCTTCTAGCTCTCTCAGTCTCCCTTTTAATTTCCCTGTTGCACATTATCTACTCCTCTAGGGCTTCTGCAGTTTTGAGCCCTCAGTATCTGCCATAAGGCTTCCTTTCTCAATTAATCCAATGCAATGTATCCCTTGATGTCCAGGGTTCACGGGATTTGATCATTTCACTCTTCTTCTTCCTTAGTACATGTTGGCCCTGTACTCTCTGTATTTTCTTCAGATTTAACTGAAAGTATTTGCTCCAAGTCGACTTTGGCCAAATTATCTCTTCCACTCCATCTTTGACTCTGCCATTGTCACTATTACAGACTTTTATCATAGAGTTGGACTACAAGTTATGAACTGTTACTAGTGTGAACCCTGCCCCCCCAAAAAAAATTAATTGATGTATATGGCTCCAGTTCCATGATTTGAAGCACCACATACTGGGTTGAGATTGTGATTTGTATCATGACGATTGAGGAGTGCATCACTAGTCAAGCTTCTATTAGAAATGGCATCAGCATATTGTTGTGCTTTAAACCCTCTCTATTTCACTTGTTTCTTCCACAGCTCAAGCAGTGAAGCAAATACAATTACAAGCTCAGAGAAGAATCACCAGTACTATTGCAAATAACTAAGAAGGGTCCAAGCTCAGACACACATATGGTTTTGAGGCATTGACTACATTTTTCTTCTCATTCACTGGTGGTTGTCTATTTTTATTGACTTTTAGGTCAAGGCACACATCTTCATCTTGTACAGAAAACACACAAGCTCCTGTATACCTCCCTCACAAGAGGGAGAGCTGAATTAAAAAAATGTTATTGTCCTCCCTCACCTACCCAAAACAAAGGCTTTCTTCTGATTGTGATTTTTTATTTTCTTTTTCCTTTTAAAAATCAGCGTAGTGTGTTTCCCCAAACCCTGTTTGTGAAGTCCAATTTAAAATTACACAGTAAATTCTTTTGGGCTAAAACAAAGTAAGTACTTTTTTCTGAATTCAAAATCCATGGAAATGATTCACAACACACACTAATGCACACATGCACCTCAGAAAAAAGAAAAGAGAAAGGAAAGGAAAAAAATAATACATTACAAGTTATTTAAAATTCAAAATATCAGAATTAGATCATCAGAACGTGAGTTAACAGTCATGTAATTATTGTGCAGTTGAGGTTCTTTCAGTTGCCTGTGCAAAACAATCTGTTTCATAGGATCTCAGACGCAGTTGAGTTGCTGATGAAGGGGTCATAGTTGTAAATTGGAACAGGTTCATTTTTTATGTGAAATGCAAATTTCTTTTCAGAAATCATACCTTTGAGAACAGAGGTTTTTTTGTTTGTTAAGCATAGAGCTGCTCACTTTTTTGTTCTTACTAGCAGACTGACAAACAACAGTCAAAGTTGTAAAGTTAGAGGTGATTCAAACAAATCAGCAGCTTCAGTCACATGACTGGGGTTTTGGGTTTAGCCACTCAGTTCATGAGGTAGGTTATAATGCCATGGCCATAGCCAATTGTGTTTTGAGGCTGATCACTGTAGAACCATTAGGGCCAAATCAAGACACAATGGGGCAGGGTAGAGGGACATAGGATGATATAATGCTTATGACAATCTATAGGGGTGGGTAGATGTGCATGAGGTGGCATGAATGGGGTTTGGGGAGTGTATGGATATGAGAGGGTGTGAGGGTTCAGGGCCAGAGAATGTTTTATATTTCATTCTTTTACTTTGATGTTTGGCCACAATGCTGGTACTCTGAGGTAGATATTCAGGCCACCTTGGGAATTAGCTGCCTCCTCAGCTCTACCTAATTTGCCTGGCCTGAGTCCCAAACCAATCCAATAACTGGACCAAAATGGAGAGAGCTGAGTGGTTACTTTTAACGATCAGGTTGGAAAAGCTGAGAATTTGTCCAATTTTGCACACCATACCCAACACAGGAGTGAAAATCATGGCCAATGTCTATAGTTTACTAATTTTGCCCTTCCAATTTTCTAAAATAATAGAGTGATGTTTCTGATTTTCTCATTATCCCAGAAATCATTTGACTGAGCTGGTTAGTTTGGCTGACACTCCAGTATTAAAGGAGTATTTCATTGTCCAATGACATCTCATCTGTCTGTTTTGACTGACTTTAAAAGTATAGGTGTTCTCGGAGAATAAAACTGAATGAATCGAAGGTGTTGCCTTCTTGATCTGAAATTGTTTTGTTATCTGGATTCACAATCAAGATAATCCTCATAATGAGATGCAGTCTAATTCAAGATACATGTTAGAAAAGCTGAGCAAAGATTAATGCTTTCTGACTAAAAAGGGAAGAAAATTGTGCAGGCTTGTTGTTGACACATCCATTGTTAGGTTTCGCTACTGCTACTTGGGAGGGATGAAAACTAGCTTGGCAGGGTGTTGAGAACCCAAGAAGCAGATTCAAGTTGTAGAGAAGTTGGAAATGGAAGGCAGAAAATTATATCCGGAACACAGAGGAAACAGTGGCTAGAAAATAAACAACAAGGTAGTTTGTTAATTCTAAATGGGACATACTTTTATGCAAAAAATCTCAGGAATGAGGCAGATTAACTAAGAGCGCAGAATGGCACTAGGAATATGAATCAAACTGTTAAACTGTTCGCTTCTGCCTGTAATCAGACTTTTAAAAATGTTTTTCTTGTTTCTTTTACAGTTTGAAATAGGCTGTGATACATTTTCCACAAAACCCTTTGTTTGCGAAGTCAAATATAAAAATGACCTGCAGCAAATTCTCCAAACAGAAGTATTTTTGCATTCAAATCTAGGGGATGAGGGTCACAACACGTACTCACATGTACAAATATACAAGAAAGAAAGAAAAAAACAAGAGAAAGACTGGAAAGAGATTCCAATTAAGAATAATTTATGAATGAAAATAATGTAACTTTTGTCTGACAGTCAGTGTCCGCTGTAAGTTGAATTCAATACAAACTTGTAATCAGGTGAGTACAGTTGGTTGCAGTTTCAGAATCCCTTTTAAAGTTGTCAAGGATGTAGCACTATAAGATTGGTCCTCTTTTCAGGTGAATAAAACATTTCTTCCATCTAACCAGCTTTTCAAGAGTTTGAGTTGAGGCAGATTTGGCTCAGCCTAGAGTCTGGTCATGATGTTAACAGGCATTAGATTCTTGACACATTGATGTTAACAGGAACTAGATCCTCCTGACTGGAGGGATAATGTCCAGAGACTACACTTAACTTCTCCACACATGGAGAGTCAGGGAGGGGGCTATGGTCACATGACATGTGAGCCACACATTATGGGTAAGTTTCATTTCAACGCTTGGTTTCTATCTGTTTTGACAGGGGTCTAGTATTCACCTTAGAATATAACACAACTATTAGAACCTCCTAGTTGTAACAAGATTAAGCTTCCTTACTTTTGGTTAATGCACTGTCGATTTGTTTGAGATAAAAGGTGAGATGTTAGTGCCAGAATTGTGAGAGCTGTCATACAAACTAATCAAGCAACAGCATGATATAGTCATTCCCATGGAATTATACCTTACAGACAATGTCTCATCATTACCATTACCACCGAAGGTGGCCCCATAGTTGGAAGGGAGCTGCCCTTGGAATCCTCAACATTGATTCCAGATGCCATGAAGTATCATGGTATCAGTTTAAACATGGGCAAGGAAACCTCCTGCCGATGACCATCTACCCTCATTCCCGCAGATTGTGAATCAGTACTCCTCCACGTTGAACACCAGTTAGAGGAAGCATTAAGGGTGGCTAGGACACAAAATGTACTACTGAGTGAGCTAGTCTAGTCCTAAAACACATAGCTACTAGACTGTATCTAGGGCAAGTGGTAGGGGAAACAAGAGGTGGGAAAAACATACCTGACCTTGTCCTCACCAATGTACCTGAAACAGACGCACCTGTCTATTACGATATCAGTAAAAGTGAAGACCACGCAGTCCTTCTGGATCAAAGTCCTGTCTTCACATTCAGGATATCCTCTGTCACTTTATCTCTATTGATGTGGCCAAACTTCCTGAGTTTCTCCAGCAATTCATGTTTTCATTTTGCATACTCAATAATAATCTGCTCACTGATGCTCGGTTTGATTTTCACCAGGTCCACTCAGCTCCTCACCTCATCATAGGCTTGATCCAAACATGTACAAAAAAGCTGAACTCAAGAAGGGAAGTGAAGGTAACTGCCCTTGACTAAGGGTGGCTAGGGCACAAAATATACTACTGATCAAGGCACTGTTTTACCCAGTGAAACAGGAGACAAGAGGAATCAGTGGGGAAACCCTACTGGTTGGAATCATACTCAGCACAAAGGAACCCTTTTCTGATGAAGGGTCTAGGCCCGAAACGTCAGCCTCTCTGCTGCTATGATGCTGCTTGGCCTGCTGTGTTCATCCAGCCCTGCACCTTGTTGTCTCGGATTCTCCAGCATCTGCAGTTCCTACTATCTCAGCACAAAGGAAGATGGCTGTGGTTGTT